GGTACTTTAACATGTAATGTTATGACTTTAAAAAAACTTCATTTAGGTACTGTGTGTTTCTCAACAAGTAGTATTGAAGATTTTAAGTTTTTATTAAAAAGTTATTTGTCTCATTCAAAGGGGGAGTTTAATAACTTGGTTAAAAGTGGGAATACTAAGATTATTATTGGAATGAATATGATGTTTGAGTTACTAGAGGCTTTAAGTATATGTCACTTGGTTACACCGGTACTTGATGGGGATAATATTACATTTCAAGCCTCCTCTGCTGAAGAAGTAGCAATGGTGCAATTTTTAGAAAAAATAGGCATACAATTATACTCTAAAATAGATAATATTGTTTCTATAAAATACACCATAGATGATGTATCTGTAATAGTTAAGTATAAGATACATGTTGTTTTTTCATTCTCATCAGAGTTAAAGAGAATGGGTATTGTTGCTCAAAGAATAGACTTTTTTGAGTTTACTAAATTAAACATATCAGGAAAGTTTAATGAATATGTATTTTTTATTAAAGGAGCTGATTCAGTCATTATACCTTTATGTAAGAAAAGTCCATGGGCACTTGAAGAGAGTGATAATATGGCAAGAGAGGGATTGAGAACATTGTTATTTGCAAAGAAAGAGTTACAAACAGAAGAATTTGAAGAATTTTACAAAAGGTATAGTGATGCTAAAATTTCAATATACAATAGAGGAGAAAAATTACTAAAAGTTCAGAATGGCATAGAAGTAAATTGTGATTTATTAGGATTGTCAGGTATCGAAGATAAGTTACAGGAAGGTGTTCGTGAAACAATAGAAAAATTAAGAGGTGCTGAAATAAAAGTATGGATGTTAACAGGAGATAAAATTCACACTGCAATTTCAATAGCCAAAAGTAGTAAATTAATATCAAGAATTGATAAATACAAAGTGATTGAAAATTGTGTTAATAAGGAAGAAATATTAAAAGTTTTAAATGAAATAGAAAAAAAGAGTTTTAATTCTCTTGTAATTGATGGAACATCAATAGGAACAATTCTTAAACACTCAGAGAGAATTTTTAATAGTAAAAATAGAATAACCATTCTTGATAAGTTTATTTCAATAACAACTAAGTTGTCTACAGTTATTGGATGTCGATTTACTCCCACTCAAAAGGCAATGATAGCTAGAGTTATGAAAAAGGGAGATAAGGGAGCAGTCTGTTGTATAGGTGATGGTGGTAATGATGTATCTATGATTACAGAAGCAAATGTTGGTATTGGAATTGAGGGTAAAGAAGGAAATCAAGCTGCACTGGCTGCTGATTTTTCACTTAAATCTTTTAAAGGTGTAATTGACTTGCTATTTGTACACGGTAGAAGGTGTTATCATAACAGTTCATTAATAGCCCATTTAGCAGTACAAAGGGGAACCAAGATTACTGTAATGCAAGCAATATTCTCTGCTTTAATATCTTCTTATCCAATAAGTGTTTTACAGAAGAACATGTCAATCTATTTTATAACTTTCACTTCTATACCTTTATTTGCCTTATTTGGATGTTATGATGTTATTCCTAGAATATCAAAAAATTATCCAGAATTGTACCATGAAATGAAGATTAATAGGTTGTGTTCATTGAAAGAGTTTGTTTTTAACAATTTAATAGCATATATAACTGGTGTGATTATATCTCTTTATTTTGCTGTTTCAAAAGTAAATGAAAGATCTTTATTTTCGGTTTGTATATTTCTATCGTCTATGATTAATGAATATTTCATGATCTTGATAGTTCAAGTCAATAGGTTTGGTATTACTTTCATATTCATTATTGTAAGTTTGTTTTTGTTTTTTGCACTAAATTCGAAGTTTCCAGAATTTGAAGTTAGATTAATGTTAGATAAGGATTTTATTGGAAAACTTTTATTAATTAACATATTGGCTATGTTACCTAAATTAATTATAAAAACTGCTCAAGTATATCTTAAACCAAGCTCTCATATAAAACTTTCAAGGAAAGAAAACGCTAATTTAATTAACTCAACTAATAAATTTTAGTTCTTTTTAAATAAAAATTCTAATAATATTTTAATGAAAACACATTCAGTAATAGATGAGAAGTATGATAGGCAAGTAAGATTATTTGGTGAAGAAACACAAAATAAACTAAAGAAAATGAAAATAGCAATTTATGGAAGTAGAAATTTAATCTCGGCTGAAATATTAAAGAATATTGTTTTACTTGGAGTGAATACAATAATTGTTAGTAATTCAATTGTTGAAGAAACAAAAAGGTTAGTTTTTGATAATCTTTGTGAAATAAATGAAGATCTTAATATTATTGAATCATCTGATGAAAAAATTGATTATACATTTGTAATTGAAGATCAACTAATAAACATTCCAGAAATTGATAACACTTGTTTTATTTGTAGTAGATGTATTTCATTTTATTTTAAGAAGGTTGATCATGGAATGTGTTGTAAAGTTAGTGTAAAAGAAGAACATAAATTTGTTTATGAGTGTATGTTAGGTGGAATGGTAGTACAAGAGTTTGTTAAAAGAGTACAAGGACTTACCAACTCAATTGATTCATTTAACTTAGAAAATTTACTAATTAATTAAATTTATAACCCTTAAATGAATCAAAATAATTTCAATCAGCATAATTATCAAGAGAACTATGAACAGGATGATATTGAAAATGCACAGAAGGTGTTATTAGAAGAAGTGAAGTATGGATATAGATGTACATGGAATATATGGGGCACACAAAAGGGTGATTCTGTTATAATTCCTAATGCATGTCATTACACACCTTTTAAATCATGTAAGGTTATTAATAGAGATCCGATTGTCTGTGGAAAGTGTCATGCTATACTTTGTGTGAATTCAACAATTGATCATCATTCAATGTCATGGACTTGTACGTTCTGTGGGGGTAGAAATCAATTTCCTAAGTATTTGCTTGAAGATCAGGAATTTTTAAGCACTGGTATTGTTGCTGAAATAGATCAAGAGAACATCTCAGTTGAGTATCTAACACCTAGAACAACACCTTTTAACCCAGTTTTTGTATTCTTGGTTGATAGATGTACTTATGATAGCAATACACATGAATCAATGATAAGAGGTATTAAGGAGGTATTTGAGAATATTCCAATGAATTCATTAGTTATGTTTATTGAGTATGGTACAAATGTTGAAGTATATACTTTTAGTGAGAGAAAGATTAGAACTATTTATCAGTATTCGGGAGAAGTAAATTATTCTAGACAACATATTAAGAATATCAATGATATGAAGGATATTTTAGTTAGTAAGGAAGAAAAGTATAATGAGATCATGGCACTGATAGAAAGATTTGAGAAAGACCCATTTCCAGTTTCAAGTGGATTTAGACCACTAAGATGTATTGGTTCAGCAATATCATTAGCTATTAGTTTTTTAGAAGGTGCTTTTGCCGATAGTCCAGTTAGACATTTGTTATTTACACAAGGTCCATGTACTGAAGGACCAGGACAGACATCATCTCAGGAGATCTCACTGAATGAAAAGATTAATTTAGATGCTGCAAAACAGTTTTATGATAAACAAGCACAAAGACTTTCTATGTTGGGACATTCAATTGATTTAATAGCAGATTCAGCAACAGACATTGGAGTTTCCCAAATGAGAATGTTATTTTCTCTGAATGGTGGTATGATTATCTTAGCACAAGACTTTGAAGAGGAAATTAAATTAAAAAGTATCAAACATTTATTAGAAAAAGATGATGATGGTGTTTTACAAGCAGGATTTAATGTGAAAATTAACGTGAAGACAAGTCCAAATCTTTCCTTAAATAAAATAATCGGGGAAGGAAAATCAGTTGGTAATTATACGACAGTTGGATCAATTCTACCAATGCATAATTATTCTATTGTTTTTGATGC